ATGGAACCAATACTCAGGCAAAAGTTTTCTCAGCAAGGCAATTTACTTCTATAGAAGGGCATCTCATGCATGCAAAACAGAGGCAATGGAGAGCACGCAAGCAAAGGAGAGCAGCAGTTTTTATCCCTTAATGCAGACCTTGTTCCTATGTCTCCCCCCTGTGGACTGGGGTTGGACTGCACAATCTAGGCTAATTCTGATTGATTACTGTTGGCATCATTAGGGGGCAAGGGTGGGCTTTTGATGGGAAGGATGGTAACATAGGTGATGAGAAATGTTCAGGCATGTTTGGTCACAGTAGAGATAGGGAGGGCTGATAGATGAATGGGTAAGATTACTTTGTAGAATAGAAGAAAGAACCAGAAACCAAAAACCTTTGAAGAGAAACTATGTATTCTTAACAACAGTGGCAAGTGAATATGAAGGCCTGGGACATTAGTGTATACTCCTGTAGACTTTATAAACAATGTATACTTAGGCTAAGCTGAATTTATTTTAAAATGTATTTTCTTCCATAATAAATTAACCTTAGTTTACTTTAACTTTTTGATATTTATTTATTTACTTGCTTATTTACTTATTTATTTATTTTGGAGACAGAGTCTTGCTCTGTTGCCAGGCTGGAGTGCAGTGGCGTGAGCTCAGCTCACTGCAGTCTCCACCTCCTGGATTCAAGCGATTCTCCTGCCTCAGCCTCCTGAGTAGTTGAGACTATAGGCATGCAACTGTGCCCAGCTAATTTTTGTATTTTTTAGTAGAGATGGGGTTTTACCATGTTTGTGAAGATGGTCTCAATCTCTTGACCTCATGATCCGCCCACCTTGGCCTCCCAAAGTGTTGGGATTACAGGGGTGAGCCACTGTGCCCAGCGTTAACTTTTTTATTTTATGAACTTAAAAAGGTCTGCAAAACAAACAATGGCTTGGGACAAGTCTGTCTAAAAGACTTTTTGACTCTTTTTTATAATAACACTTAGCTTAAAATACAAACACATTGTACAACTGTATAAAAATCTTCTTTATATTTTTATAAACTTTAAAATTTGTTACTTTTACTTTTAAATTTAAAAAAAAAAAAAACAAAGACACCAACACATACATTAGCCTAGGCCTACACAGGGTCAGGATCATCAATATCACTGTCTTCTTCTGACTCCACATCTTGTCCCACTGGAAGGTCTTTAGGGCAATAACATGCATAGTTCCATTATCTCCTACAATAGCAATGCCTGCTTCTGGAATACCTCCTGAAGGACCTGCCTGAGGCTGTTTCATGGTTAACATTTTTGTTTTGTTTTGTTTTTAATGTAAGTAGAAAAAGTAACCCTAAAATAATGATTTTTTTTTTGAGATGGGAGTCTCGCTCTGTCACACAGGCTGGAATGCAGTGGCATAATCTTGGCTCATTGCTGCCTGCACCTCTTCTGTTCAAGCAAATATCGTGCCTCAGCCTCCTGAGTAGCTGGGACTTCAGATGCCCCCCACCACGCCTGGCTAATTTTTCTATTTTAAGTAGAGATGGGGTTTCACCTCATTGGCCAGGCTGGTCTCGACCTCCTGACCTCAAGTGATCCGCCCATCTCGGACTCCCGAAGCACTGCGATTACAGGTGTAAGACACTGCACCCAGTTAAAATAATGACTACTAGTATTATAAATATGTAAACCAGTAACATAGTTGTTGCTTAGCGTTACGCAGTATCGTACATAATCGTACATGCTATTCTTTGATATAATTGGCAGCACAGGTTTGTTTACACCAAATCACCACAAACACATGAGTAATGAAGTGCACTATGACGTTATAATGGCTACAGCATTACTAGGCAATGGGAATTTTTCAGCTACATTATCATCTATGGGACACCTGTCATATATACTGCTTATCATTGACTGGAATGTCCTACTTCCATGGCACGTGAGTGGAACAAGTGCAAGGCCACACAGCTAGCAAGAATTTCAACCAAGTGTGTCAACAGCAATCACTCAGCCTAGGAAAGCTTTTCTGGTCTCTTTTTTTCTCCTAAGGTAAAAACACATAAATACTTTGGAGAGGATATTTTCCTTGTCAAATCCCCACTTTTGGGAAGAACTATTTGCTAGATGATGCCCTAATAGAATCCACTTTCTAGGTTATTTCAAAAAGCATTTTTTGTTAAAAAATTAAATAGTGCTACTACTATTATATTAGTGAAATTAATTCAGGAAGACAAACTCTTAGGCTACACAACAGCCTTCTCAGCCCTTTTGGTTTGGATTTGTGGGTCTGGCTTTGGAGTTCCCTGGGAGGCCTGATACCGAGAGAGGTCTAGTTTAAAGGGGTGAAAGAAGCAATTTATGGTTTGTTCCTTGTCGGAAATTCTCTCTTTTAGATCCAGTCTAAGTTCAGGAGAACCTTATACTATGCAAATATACAAGAGACCCCTGGCCAACTGAAGACCTTTCTAAATTCTTAAATTAGAAAATGCCCCAATAACATGTCACTCATTCTGTCAAACACAGTACTAAATATGTAGATGATGAATTACGGATAAACATTAACATTTCCAGGTTGTATATATCAAAGAATAGATTTTTACCTTCTTTGCAAACATTACTCTGTATATGGTTACAAGGACAGAATTTAAAGTCTTGTGAAACACAGATGCTATACAGTTAGACAGGGGCTGTCACTAGCTGGGAGCTCCCTCCTGACCACTATCCTTAGAACTTTTGGAGTGCAAATTGATGCTTAACTCTGCATTTTTCCAAGTTGCTATTCCTTTTATTTATTTATATTTTATGTACAGATTTATGGGGTACATGTGAAATTTTCTTACAAGAGTATTCCTTTTAGATTGTGTTTCAACTGTGAAATTTTCTTACAAGAGTATTCCTTTTAGGTTGTGTTTCAGCTGAATTAATACACATCAGAGATTTTCTGGTCACTAAACTGTTAAATTCTCAAATGCCAAGGGTCTGTTGTAGGTTCTGAGGGAGGGTAATAGATCAATCCATGAACATCTACCAATAGAAAAATATAAATGAGCTTTTCAGCTGCCTGGGGGGCTGGTATTCACTAGGTAATTTGAATAAAAAGGAAGGAAAATGAAGGAGGAAAACCAGGTTCAAAGCAAGAGGTGCTTCTTCAGGGAGGATCTCCTAATAAAAAGAAGTGGTGGGCCAGGCCGGTGTCTCACGCCTGTAATCCCAGCACTTTGGGAGGCCAAGGTGGGTGGATCACTTGAAGTCAGGAGTGCAAGACCAGCCTGGCCAATATGATGAAACCTCATGTCTACCAAAAAAAAAAAAAAAAAAAATTAGCCAGGTGTGTTGGAGTGTGCCTGTAACCCCAGCTACTCAGAAGACTGAGGCAGGAGAATTGCTTGAATCCCAGAGGGGAAGGTTGCAGTGAGCCAAGATTGCGTCATTGCACTCCAGCCTAGGCAATAAGAATGAAACTCTGTCTCAAAGAAAAAGGAAGTGGTGGAGAAATTACCAAAGTGGTGTGTGTGTGTGTGTGTCAGATGGGATCAGGGGTAGAAGAAAATAAGGAGAAAAAATTTGAAGGAAATCCAGAATTTACAATTCATCCAAAGGCTGACCCTAGCCAAAGCCTTTTCTTCGGACCTGATTAGTTTGTCCCAAACCTCACCAGCTCTGAGTTCTGTACTCAAATCAGGGTGAGAAGGGGAAAGAAACCTCCAGAGCGGACCCATCTGGTGACAGTGGAGAGAATGTAACATGCTTTGCAGGCGGGGGAGGTGTGTTATGTTTTCTCTTTATTCCCTTTCCTTTCTAAACCCAGGATCCTTCCTTTCCTCCTTTCTCATTAGAAAAAATTAAAAAGTCAAACCTACAGGCAGTTGTATCATTGTTTCAGCTGCCTGTGAATGGACTGATGGCATCTGCCGGGCAGCCCACTAAAATAAAGCTACACTGTCTCTGAGGTCATAGACCTGCCCACAATTTAGATTGCTTTTCTAGGTTTAAAAAACTTAGCTCCCCTTCTTAAATAAACCTATTTTCTTTATCCTTCCCAGTTGAAGCATTTCCTTCCATTTTGCACACAGTCTCCTACATACTCCTTTAGGTAAGCCTCTTTATTTACCCCTCCTAACTCCCATCCCTTTTAGCACCAATTTTTCACTTTCATTGAACAAGGCTGCAGATATCCTCACCCCATGGGAAGGTGGCTGCCTGGACGGCGGTCCACCCAGCCTAACCCACATGCTGACAGCAGCGTCTTCCATTTCAAATATTTCTGCTTTGTACCCTTGCCACCTGTTCAGAGCAGATGGGAAGCTGCCACGGCAAGGCCAGTGCTAATGCCACTCATGCACTCTGCAAATCAAAACAGAATTTTTGTTGTTGCATTATAATAACAAAAACACAGGCTGTTTACAGGCAGTCCCTACAATTGTTTTCGTCAATAAATTCCTTCCAGTCAGCCCAGGTAGTTGGGTAGATATTGAGAACAGGTGCATTCCATTGGGTTCCTGAATGATTTGGTGCCTGAGCTCCTGTCTACAGTGAGCACATGGGAACTGTGGGAGGTAGGAGGAGTGTTGCAGCATCAGAGTCTGATGACATGGAAGACAACTGGTGCTGGCCTAATTTCCTGCGGTACAACCTGGGCTTTGGGACCATCGTGTCTTTATACTCATTTGGCTTCAGGTGACTTTGCCCAGTTTCCTTTTAGGCAATAGTTTGGTCTCGTGTGACCTTACTAGAGAATTTAACAGGAGTTCATTAGAAGATGGAGAAGTATAGAAATAACAGGGGTTTACACCGAGACCATATGGTGTTTTGCAGAGTGAGATACTGTTGTCAAATGGGCAGAACAATGCATATACTTTTGTTTATATGTTTTGAAAAATTCTCCCCACAGTATACACTATTGTGTCCTAAATACCATGGCCCCTCAGATATTTGACCAAACAGGCCTTCAGATTTTGAAAAACATGGAGCATGAGTTAAGTGCCTAGATCCTCTAATCACTTCCCTGCACCTGTGCTTCCAGGTGGACACTCTGGAGGTGATACGGCATCCGGAAGAAACCACCAACATGAAGAGGCAAACCGTGGCTTCTTACTTCCGGGTATGGAGTCTTCTTGATCTCTCTTCTGCCTACTTCCAAAGAGGACTCTCCAGGCCTTCTTATGAGATGCCCAGATAGAATCATTGAAACAAGGGCAAAGAACAGAGTCAAGAAAGGTTGGGTTGGGGAAGTGGTGGTGGAAAGGTGGGAAGAGAACACTGGGCACAGAATCCTGCCCATTAAATGACTGATTCTGTTAGCATTTGAGCTGCTTCTTGGATTTAAAGCTCCTAGAGGCAGCCACTTTTCTAGCATACTGAATAGTAGTTAATAAAGTTCCAGAAGACGGCTTATCAAGTTCAGATACTGAGAGGACCTGTCTTCTCATTGACTTTATTTTCCTAGATTGAATTGACCAATTGTACAACTTATTTGAGCCCTATTATTTCCCATTTCTGCCACCCCAATTTCTGACATTTTATCTAGTTAAATGCCTCCTTTGGGTAAAGACTTGGTCTCTAGAAGGGCTCTCTTAAATGTATGTGATATAGCAAAGATAAGACACACTCTTGCAGCAATTTGCACAGATTTGTTTGACTTTTAAATATAAAGCATTAGAGTTGGAAGGCCCTTAGGGATCATGTACCACTGGGAGCTAAGGTTCAGATGGTTTCACAGTAAAAATGCTGTTAGGCTGAACACAATGTTACACCTGTAATCCCAGCACTTTGGGAGGCTGAGGCAGCGGATCACCTGTGCTCAAGAGTTCCAGACCAGCCTGGCCAACATGGTGAAATCCCATATGTACTAAAAATGCAAAAATTAGTCAGGCATGGCAGCAGACACCTGTAATCTCAGCTACTCGGGAGGCTGACGCAGGAGAATTGCGACTGATACGACTGGGAATAAGGTAGTGGAACAGAAAAGCAAAATATAAAAGCAAGGCAAAGAGAATAAAGTAAGTATGCAAAAAGAAGACTATAGTGCCTGTCAACTAATATATACCAAGCAGTTGGTACAGTGCTCTCATAGCAAGAGGGGAAATTCAATTCAATCTAGGAAAATAAAGTCAATGTGAAGACAGGTCCTCTCAGTATCTGAACTTGATAAGCTGTCTTCTGGAACTTTATTAACTACTTTACTATTCAGTATGCTAGAAAAGTAGCTGCCTCTAATAGCTTTAAGACCAAGAAGCAGCTCAAATGCTCTCATAGCAAGAGGAGAGGAAGGACATGGAAAATCAGAGGGGTGCTTGTGAAGCAGGGCTCAGTTGTTCCTCGGTATTCTCAAAATACCAGTTCCATCTCAAAAAGAAAAAAAAAAAGAAATGTTGTTAGATCAAATTTAGAACTGGTCTCGGGGACAGCAGAATGAGATAGTAATATGGGGTTGACACAGGAGAGGGCTTGGCAGGATGAGAGGTCAGGTGGATGGAAAGCTGGAAGGCTGGCTGAAGGGCAGGACTTGGGAGCCAGCACTCTGGATAGAAGGCTCCATGGGAGGCTAGCAGGTGCAAGGATCTAAAGTGCAAAAATCCAACCTAGCCAACAGTGCCTCAGAGGCAGGCTAGAATTGAGCTCAGGGCATGAATTGCAGGGGCCCCAGACCTTTGAATCCAGTACTCCATCCATGCAGTAAGTTGTGCTATAGCATCTGCGGCAGTTGGGCCCCTGCCTCATCATTCTGATGTCTGATTATTTCTAATTGCTACTTATTTCTTATATTGAGACACACCTGGTCCTATCCCCTTTAGGGGCTCTAGCCTCATCTGTTAGTGCATTTTAAGTTGCTATGAAGGAATACCTGAGACTGGGTAATTTTTTTTTTTTTTTGAGACAGAATTTCACTCTGTAACCCAGGCTGGAGTGCAGTGGTACAATCTCGGCTCACTGCAGTCTCCATCTCCTGGGTTCAAGCAGTTCTTCTGCCTCAGCCTCCCATGTAACTAGAACTACAGGCATGTGCCACCATGCCCAACAAATTTTTTTATATTTTTAGTAGAGACGGGTTTTCACCATGTTGGCTAGGCTGGTCTTGAACTCCTGACTTTAGGTGATCCACCCACCTCAGCCTCCCTAAGTGCTAGGATTACAGGCATGAGCCACCATTCCCAGCCAAGACTGGATAATTTGTAAAGAAAAGAGGTATATTTGGCTCACAGTTCTGCAGGTGGTACAAGCGTGTTACCAGCATCTACTCAGCTTCTGGTGAGGCCTCAGGAAGCTTTTACTCATGGATCAGGCATGTTACATGACAAGAGAGGGAGGAATAGAGAGGGAGTAAGACAGAGAGGGGATCCCAGACTCTTCAACAACCAGCTTTTGCATGAACTAATAGAGTAAGAATTCACTCATTGCCGTGAAGACAGCACCAAGCTATTCATGAGGGATCTGTCCCCGTAACCATAACCCAAACACCTCCCACTCACGAGGGATCTGCCCCTATGACCATGACCCAAACACCTCCAGTAGGCCCATCACCAACATTGGAGATCACATTTCAACGTGAGATTTGGAAGAAACACACATCGAAACCATATCCTCCTCCTAGTAACCCTTGGTGTCTGTGTATGTTTTCCCACTGGATTTAGTGGGTCAGTTTACTCTGTGAAGTGATCCTCGAGATCTTAGGGCCCCCCTCTCAGCAGAAAAGCCTCTGGCTTATGGTTTTTCAGAAATATATCTGTAACAACCAGTTTGGTGTTCTCAAAATACAATTCCCAAATGCTAAACCTGGAAAATAAGTTACTGTGGTAAGCTAAGTAACACCAATTTTGAGCTGTAGGAGCAGTGACTATGAAATAATGGACCTGGTTTCTTTTGGCTTATAATAGCCTCTGAAGGTGTCCCCAGAAGAGCTCTAGCAATGGATGCCCCTGAGGAACAACTGAGTCCCCCTTCACAAGCACCCCTCTGATTTTCCACGTCCTTCCTCCCCTCTTGCTGTGAAAGACCTGTACCAGCTGCTTGATAAATATTAGTTGACAGTTACCATAATCTCCTTTTTGCATACTTCTCTTATTTTCTTTGCCCTATTTTTGTATTTTTCTTTTCTGTTCCACTACATATTACCAATCATATCAGTAGGATTTGTTTAGACTATCTGGTGGTTCTTAGGCTGAAGAAGCAATTAGCCCCTTCCTCAAAAGCTGGACATTTTAAATTACAGATATAGATTGTGGAACATCATCTTAGAATACCAGCGACAGGCATTCTAGTTCTGGCAAGGAAATATAGGCTGTCCTAGAGCACGTTCTTAGCTAAGTTTCTGCCATATGGGATATTGCTTAGCACTAGGTGATGTTTAAAGAATGTTTTTTAATCTGCAGCTGACTATAAGTAGAACTTATATTATCACCTTCTATTGCTGATTTCATGTTCTGCTTCAAGAAAGTCCGTGAGCCTCAAACTGCTTTAGAGGTTTCTGCAGGCCTGTGTTGTGGTAACCTCGTTCTTTGTGGATTTTTTTCCCCTGGTAGTATTCTCTGATGGACCTGCTCTCCAAAATGGTGGTTGGACAGCCCCACTTTGTGCGCTGCATTAAACCCAATGATGACCGAGAGTCCCTGAAGTTCTCCCGAGAGAGGGTGCTGGCCCAGCTCCGCTCCACAGGGATTCTGGAGACAGTCAGCATCCGCCGCCAGGGCTATTCCCACCGCATCCTCTTTGAAGAATTTGTGAAAAGGTCAGACCACCATCTTTGGGAATGCATTATTGTAAATGTAGCTCTACTCTGGCCATCCCTGTTTCCTAAGATCCTCCTTCCCACTCCACTCCAAACATGTAATTGGCTAGTTGCCAGCTGCCATTTACTTGCTTGAATGTTGCATTTTTATTGTACTTCACCTAAACGGCAGTGATTCAGCAGCCAGGTTAAGCTTCCTTCTGATCACATTTTAAACGTTCATGTACATTTATATGTTATAAATCCTTAAGTCTCAAGTTCTCCAGGCATTTTGTTGTTAGGATGAAAGTATCCCTCCATAAATGGGCCCAGATTCTGGTGGATTTGAATGCACCTACTCAGCAGTTCTCCTTCCAGTTTCTGGGATGATATAATATAATACTTAACACTTACATAGCACCTAAAGTATCCTAAGAGTACAGGACATTTTAGGGCACTATCCTAAAATGTATTATCTCATCTGATCCATACAACAACCCCATAAGCTAGACTCTACTATTATCCCTATTTTACAAAACATAAAGGTGAGAAAACAGGGGCATGAAAAGAAAGTAAGTGATTTTCCCATGATCTCATGCTGTTCAATGCAGAGCCAGGATGTGAACCCAGGCAGTCTGGTTTCAGCATCCATGCTTTTAATCTCTTCAGTTCAGAGCATTCCATCAGTATTTATTGAAATAAATTGCATGGCACTTTCTTAACCCACAAATTGCCTTTGCCTAAGAATGAAATGCTGCTCTTTTCTGAACAACTGCCACAGAGATTATGTATGAATGTGAGTACAGGTAGAAATTTCTGTGAAGAAATAAGGAAAGCAATAACAAGAAAACACCTCTGAGAAGCACTGCTGTCTGAGGATGCCTGGAGAAGAATATTGAAATCTGCTGTATGCCTGACAAAGACAGACCGATCAAGAAAAAAACAAAATCCATTGTAGAACCCGCCTCACTCCTTCAGCCATCTTTAGTGTTCTGGTTTTTTTTTTCCACCTCCATTCTGAAACATGTGCCCAAGGTCATTTTTTCCAACTTTTTCTAGGGAAAGACTGGGTCCTAAATATGATAGCTCGCTTCATCAGGTCTCCAAAACTTCTAAATTCCATGGAAAAGATAAGGCAAAAAAGTTCCTTGCAATGAGAACTTTTAAATTAAACATAAGAATGAAGTAGCTTTTAAAAAAGTGTCTTTGAGCTTCTTTTTTCCTCTTAAATTTGGAGGTGGAACAAGGAAAAAATATTTTAGCTCATGAATTTGACTAGTCAAGTATTTTTAGCAACAGTTTTTGAATACATAAAAATATTTAAGAAAACAGGTCAAATGCTGAATGGATTGGCACTTCTTTGTTCATATTCAGAAAGCCATTAGGCAAGTATGAACAGGAGTTTCAAAAATGCCAGTAAATCTGAGGATATCAAAGATTTCTGAGCCAGCAAGTTAATTGGTATTTTGATCCCTTTGAACAACTTAACAAAATGGATGAGTTAGCAATTTTCTCCCTTGATGTTATTCAACAAATAGGTACATTTCTTATCTTCCTGTTCAAGAGTGCTGTTGTGTAAACTCTTAGCAGGAAATATGCAGACAGGACAATCAAAGACAGGAAGCAGCCATTCAAGGTTTATTAAATGGAGTTAAATAAAAGATAAAAACTCATTTAATGTTACTCTACATTTTTGTATTTTCCGGCATTCAGGACTGAAACCCTGAGTATACACCTGGTGATGTTCCTGGGATCATGTTGTTGGGTTTCAGAAAGGGGAAAGATTTCCCCAATCCCCAGATTATCCAACTCTGCAGGCTTGGCCAAACCTGAAATGCTTTCTTCCCCTATCATCTTTGAGCTTTCTGGCAAAATGACCTGGGTACAATGTCCTCTCATGAATAGGGCCAGGTGAATTGGAAGTCTTTTTTTTTCCTTTTTTATTGCATTTTAGGTTTTGGGGTACAAGTGAAGAACATGCAAGATTGTTACATAGGTACACACGTGGCAGTGTGATTTGCTGCCTTCCTCCCCTTCTTCTATTTCTGGCATTGTTCCCCATGCTATCTCTCCCAAACTCCCCACCCCCTGCTGTCCCTCCCATGTTTCCTCCCAACAGACCCCAGTGTGTAGTGCTCCCCTCCCTGTGTCCATGTATTGTCATTGTTCAACACCCGCCTATGAGTAAGAACATGTGGCATTTCATTTTCTGTTCTTGTGTCAGTTTGCTGAGAATGATGCTTTCCAGTTTCATCCATGTCCCTACAAAGAACACAAACTCATCATTTTTGATGGCTGCATAATATTCCATGGTGTATATGTGCCACATTTTCCCTGTCCAGTTTATCATCAGTGGGCATTTGGGTTGGTTCCAGGTCTTTGCTATTGTAAGCTATGCTGCAATGAACATTCGTGTGCATGTATCCTTATAGTAGAATGATTTAAAATCTTTTGGATATATACCCAGTAATGGGATTGCTGGCTCAAATGGAATTTCTATTCTAGGTCCTTGAGGAATCGCCACACTGTCTTCCACAATGGTTGAACTAATTTACACTCCCACCAGCAGTGTAAAAGTGTTCCTATTTCTCCACATCCTCTCCAACATCTGTTGTCTCTAGATTTTTTTTTTTTTTTTTTTAATTTTTTATTGGATTATAGGTTTTGGGGTACATGAGCAGAGCATGCTCAGACAGTTGCGTAGGTACACACATGGCAGTGTGCTTTCTTTTCTTCTCCCCTTCACCCACATTTGGCTTTTCTCCCCAGGCTATCCCTCCCCACCTCCCCCTCCCACTGGCCCTCCCCTTTTGCCCCCAATAGACCCCAGTGTTTAGCACTCCCCTTTCTGTGTCCATGTGTTCTCATTTTTCATCACCCACCTATGAGTGAGAATATGCGGTGTTTCATTTTCTGTTCTTGTGTCAGTTTGCTGAGGATGATGTTCTCCAGATTCATCCATGTCCCTACAAACGACACAAACTCATCATTTCTGATTGCTGCATAATATTCCATGGTGTATATGTGCCACATTTTTCCAATCCAGTCTATTATCAATGGGCATTTGGGTTGATTCCAGGTCTTTGCTATTGTAAACAGTGCTGCAATGAACATTCGTGTACATGTGTCCTTATAGTAGAACGATTTATAGTCTTTTGGATATATACCCAGTAATGGGATTGCTGGGTCAAATGGAATTTCTATTTCTAAGGCCTTGAGGAATCGCCACACCGTCTTCCACAATGGTTGAACTAATTTACACTCCCACCAACAGTGTAAAAGTGTTCCTTTTTCTCCACATCCTCTCCAGCATCTGTTCTCTCCAGATTTTTTAATGATCTCCATTCTAACTGGCGTGAGATGGTATCTCAATGTGGTTTTGATTTGCATCTCTCTGATGATCAGTGACGATGAGCATTTTTTCATATGATTTTTGGCCTCATATATGTCTTCTTTCGTAAAGTATCTGTTCATATCCTTTGCCCACTTTTGAACGGGCTTGTTTGTTTTTTTCCTGTAAATCTGTTTGAGTTCTTTGTAAATTCTGGATATCAGCCCTTTGTCAGATGGGTAAACTGCAAAAATTTTTTCCCATTCTGTTGGTTGCCGATCCACTCTAGTGACTGTTTCTTTTGCCGTGCAGAAGCTGTGGAGTTTGATTAGGTCCCATTTGTCTATTTTGGCTTTTGTTGCCAATGCTTTTGGTGTTTTGTTCATGAAGTCCTTGCCTACTCCTATGTCCTGGATAGTTTTGCCTAGATTTTCTTCTAGGGTTTTTATGGTGCCAGGTCTTATGTTTAAGTCTTCAATCCATCTGGAGTTAATTTTAGTGTAAGGTGTCAGGAAGGGGTCCAGTTTCTGCTTTCTGCACATGGCTAGCCAGTTTTCCCAACACCATTTGTTAAACATGGAATCCTTTCCCCATTGCTTGTTTTTGTCAGGTTTATCAAAGATTGTATAGTTGTATGTATGTTGTGTTGCCTCCAGTGCCTCTGTTTTGTTCCATTTGTCTATATCTCTGTTTTGGTACCAGTACCATGCTGTTTTGATTACTGTAGCCTTGTAGTATAGTTTGAAATCCGGTAGTGTGATGCCCCCCGCTGTGTTCTTTTTGCTTAGAATTGACTTGGCTATGCGGGCTCTCTTTTGGTTCCATATGAAGTTCATGGTGGTTTTTTCCAGTTCTGTGAAGAAAGTCAATGGTAGCTTGATGGGGATAGCGTTGATTCTGTAAATTACTTTGGGCAGTATAGCCATTTTCATGATATTAATTCTTCCGAACCATGAACATGGAATGTTTCTCCATCTGTTTGTGTCCTCTCTGATTTTGTTGAGCAGTGGTTTGTAGTTCTCCTTGAAGAGGTCTCTTACATTCCTTGTGAGTTGTATTCCAAGGTATTTTATTCTTTTTGTAGCAATTGTGAATGGCAGTTCGCTCTTGATTTGGCTTTCTTTAAGTCTGTTATTGGTGTAGACGAATGCTTGTGATTTTTGCACATTGATTTTATATCCTGAGACTTTGCTGAAGTTGCTTATCAGTTTCAGGAGTTTTTGGGCTGAGGCAATGGGGTCTTCTAGGTATACTATCATGTCGTCTGCAAATAGAGACAATTTTGCTTCCACCTTTCCTATTTGAATACCCTTTATTTCTTTTTCTTGCCTGATTGCTCTGGCTAGAACTTCCAGTACTATATTGAATAGGAGTGGTGAAAGAGGGCATCCTTGTCTAGTGCCAGATTTCAAAGGGAATGCTTCCAGTTTTTGCCCATTCAGTATGATATTGGCTGTTGGTTTGTCATAAATAGCTTTTATTACTTTGAGGTACGTTCCATCGATACCGAGTTTATTGAGGGTTTTTAGCATAAAGGGCTGTTGAATTTTGTCAAATGCCTTCTCTGCGTCAATTGAGATAATCATGTGGTTTTTGTTTTTGGTTCTGTTTATGTGGTGAATTACATTTATAGACTTGCGTATGTTGAACCAGCCTTGCATCCCCGGGATGAATCCTACTTGATCATGAT